TCAGCTATGAGTTGGTTCCGACTTGATAGTACACAGCAACACTTAGAAGGAAGATTGAAGAACTGATGACTTTGAATTGTGGTGTTGGCAAAGAATATTGAATATGCCTGGGTTACCAGAAGCACAGACCAAGTCTGTCTTGGAGAAAGTGCAACCAGGGTGCTCCTTAGAGGCAAGGATAGTGAAACGGCACCTCACAACATTTAGGCGTGTTGTCAGGAGGGGCTCAGTTCTTAGGGAAAGATATCATGCTGGCCAAAGTGGAGGGTCAGAGAAAGAGAGGAAGACCCTCCACGAGATGGATTGACACAAGGAAGGGCTTGGACATGGGTCAGAAGGCAAGGCTTTGCTCTGTTGTTCAGAGGGTCTCAGGGAGTTGGAGCAGACAATAGCGGGCATCTAACAATAACAGTTATGAAGCCCAACTGGACTCTTAGTCACTAACATCTGACACATCCATCCTCCTGATTTATTGAGCGGGGGCCTCTCCCCACGGCAGGCTGGTGGGCAGGCTGGTGGGCAGGCTGGTGGGCAGACTGGCACCTTCCTGAGCACAGAATAAAGCTCACCCTTGGCTCCTACCCTCATAACTTCCAGACTTAGGCAAGTGCCTGCAGCTCCATATCCTTGTTCATGGACGCACTCAAGTGTTTACGGAGCACCCTTGAGACTCTAGGAGCAGAACAAAGCCAATAACCTCTCACCATTCAGTGGAATTAGGGAGAAAACGCTTATCTTCATTAACGAGGTGATGCCAAGCCAATTCTAACCAGCTTAGTGTGGTGTTAAGACAGAAAAATTAAGCAGGAAAGTCCTCTGTTACATGAGGACTTGTAAGGCTATAGATGAGAACAACCAGCAATTTTCTTATCTCTAAAAACAGAGAAGATAAGAGTGCCATTGTCTGAATTCAGTGGGACAGTATATGCAAAATGCTTCACATCATAGCTGGCATATAGAAAGAGGTCAACAAATGTAGCCTATGTTGACCCTGATAATTTATTATCTCCAGATTAGTAAGTCTAACACTGAGCTACTCACATCCTCTGCTCCCCCCATGTCTCTCCCATTATCCTTCTACTTCCTCAGCCAAAAATAAATGGGGGTTCCCCCTGTCACCTTTCTTTTTCTCAGAGTCCACCACCAATGAAATGGAAGGACTTTTGGCTCTATCTTCAAAATATCTCCAGCAGTCACCACCTCCACCTCTCACGCCTTCACTGCTATGACCCTGCCTAAACTACTGTCACCTCTTGCTTAGTTCATATCCATGATTTGCTAACTTCTGCCCCCACCCTCCCCACGGCCTGAACAGACTTGCAGTCAAGGGAATTCTGGGAAGACAGAAGTTGCACCAACTCATTTTTTTGCTCAAAGTTCTCCAATGTTGTTGTGGTTGTTTTCTGTTTGTTTGGTTTTTTTCTAATCACCCTCAGATTAGAGCCAGATACGTAATAAGCCAATAATAAAATGGTTTGGCCCGTTTTAGAGTTCTTTGGTGGATTATGAACACTTTGACCACTGTGCCACAAAAGCTCCTTCAGAATTCTCCAGGCTCATCTCTTTCTTACTCCTGTACTCTCTGATTTAGCTTCACTGGTCATCTAGCTCATTAAGCCTGCTAGACCCACCCCTGATTAAGGACATTTGCACTAGTTATTATCTGTGCTTTGTGGACTCTTCTCTAAATGTCTAAATGGCTTGTCCTCTCATTTTTTTTTAGTATGTTCTTGAATGTCAACATCTCAAAGGTGGGCATCTTCACTGACTGATGACCCTCATTAGAATTGTGATTCTGTGAAGAAATGCTCAAAACCTGGCAGTAAGACAGATGCAAATCAAAACCACCATGAAATACCATCTCACTCCAGTAGCAGTGGCAAATTTTAACAGGACAGCAAGGAATAAATGTTGGAGAGGATGCAGAGAGATAGGAACAGTAATAGTAAAATGGTACAATCATTCTGGAAGGCAGTTTGGCATTTCCTAAGAAAAACCCTGAATATAGAAATCCCACATGACCCAGCTATTCCACTACTTAGAATGTACCCTGAGAAAATGAGAACTGAGGCACAAACTGAGATTTGTACACCAATGTACAACACAATACAATAGCAGCAATAATCACCACCGCAAGAACATGGAAACAGTCCAAATGTCCAACCACAATCAGATGGATTGAGAAATTATGGTACATTCACATGATAAGATGATAAATTTAGCAAGACGGAGCAATGGTTTTCTAAATCACTACCTAACTTGGGAGGGAGCAGAGAGCATTTTGCTAAGTAAACTAACCCGGTCCCATAAGGACAAATACTGTATAAGCCCATTATTGTAGAAATAGAAAGATAACTAGTAAAAGATGTAGGAGGACCCAAGGGGGGAGGGTAGGAGCAGAGGCGTGAGGATGGGAAGAGGGTTAAATAGGTTCACACAGTTTGTCGAGTAGAGTGAGAGGTGGGTAAAGGAAATGGGAAAGATCCTATACGAAAAACAATGGATATGAACTTTGTAAGTAAACCAGCATAAAATAAAAATTTTATTTAAAAAATTTTTGTAATTCTCCCTGACAAATGCCTGTGGAAGGAAAAAACAGGGAGGAAAAAAGAAAACACAGCATAGTACTTCTCTTCATCTCAAAGGATCCAGAAAAAAATGTATAAAGTCCTACTGGTCATCCATGAATCCTTGTTTGGTTTCTAAATCAGAATGGAGAAACCTTATGCCTATCCTTGGCAGAGCAGGGAAGTTTGGCAACCCCTTGGGTATCTTTTCTTTAGTGTGTATCTTTCCTTTAGTGTGAACACAGCAGGGTTACAACTGACATCAGTCGGGTTCTTCTAATGTTTAGCATCACTCTCATTTGTAAACGGTGATCTCTCTACAAATGAGGAAGCTGAGGTTCAGAGAATGGGGGTCTCTAGCCCGGTTCTGCTACATCCCATAACCTCATGAGATGAGTTACCCTTCACCATCTCGGGAGGAGAATGTCATAGATCTTTAAGCAGCTCCCGTCAACACCACACTCCTTGTTTTCAGACTGAAATCTTACCCATCATCAGAGAAACAGATGAAAAAGCAACTGGGTAGGTAGTACCAAGCATTCAGTGGTGACACCTACACTTCATCTACAATAGATTTTTACTTTTCTCAGTTTTATTCACTTACTCATTGAAGAAATGCTTATTGATTCATCTAGGTTACAAATATAAATTTTCTATTGATAGGGACCTCTTATGGGCTAGTGGCAAGAAGCTGAGCTGCAATCCCGTAGGCACACAGTTTGAGGCCATCAGACGCTCTGAGGGAGAAGGATGGGCCATCTCCTCTCATGCAATTAGCTGCCTCTGAAAACCCGACAGAGGGTCAGCTATAGGTTGGTTCTGACTAGACAGTAAACAACAACAAAAATATCCTCAGAGGCTTAGATTTCTTCTTTTTGTCTTGATTTTTTTGTGCTTAAGACCTCTCAGGGCAGGAAGGTGGCTGGCTCTTATGCCAAATGGTTGACACAGTGGTTCTTCTTGGGCAAGTTAAAGCCCTCCTAAGGTCCACCTGGAGACTGCTCGTGGGCCTGAATATCCTGTGGCCCCACAGGCAGGACACAGGAGTGCGGGAAAGGCCCCAAAGCAGACTTAACAAAATTCTGGCAGAGAAAACAAGGGGAAGGCAGGAGAGCAATGACTAGAGATTTGTTAGAACGAAACGTGTCAGGAGCTCTGGTTCTGTAGGGATGGGTTTGTCAGAGTTGGCATTTCCACATGGCACCAGGCCCAGGCTTAGCAGGTGGCGTAGACACAGCCCTTAATTGATAGCTTAATTAGAGAATTAGGTAGGTGATAACTTCCAACCTACAGCTTGGTTAGGCTAAATTCCATTATCACCCTTTCCCACAGAAGTAAATGAGGAGTGGGCGCAGCCCTCCTAAGAAGAACTGGTGCTAAAATGGTTTGGCCTATCTGCACGTGCAATAGGAAGGGGTGGGGGGAGGAATGACGTTTTAAGGAGAAAGTCAACAGGCACTTCCTCCATTTAAGGCTCCAGGAAATTCTGAAAGGCAACAATTTACCCTTTTCCCTCGAGCATGTCGAATTGTCTCCTACAAATAAAAATCCTCCTCCCTCACAGGTAGGTTGGAGCCTCCAAGGTTTCTAAGCCTGGGAAATAATGGTGGTCTGCAGAGACGTGGAGGAAGAGCCAGCCATTCTTTTTAAGCTCTGCAAGAGACCTATGACTGCCTCTTTCAACTAGGACAGTGGTCTCTGGCCCCAAGAAGTCCCTCAGCAGCCCACGTGGGTAAGTGGCCAGGATGTGGCCTCCTCCTTCTTCCTGACTGCTCTTCAAGGAAGCCCTACCTGGATTCTGCTACTCAGACCAGCATCATTGACATCACCTGGGAGTTAATGAAAATGCAGCCTGAGAGGAAGTCTTAGACTGGCTGCTCCAGAACCTGCATTATAACAAGATCCTTAGGTGATTTATTTGCACATTAAAGTTTTTTTTTTTTTCTTCTGAGAGAAAAACGAACTGGGGGCAGAGGGGTGGGTAGAGAGGAAAGTGTGCAACAATGTATGAATGGAAATCCAAAGTCTCGGTAAACTTACATTAAAATGTAATAAAAAAAAAATCAATGACTTTCATGAGGGTAAAGCCAAGTTTCTAGTTAAGCTTCTCCTAAAAAATCTAGCATACTTGAAGCTGTGTAAGAAGAGCGAGGACTATGAAACATTAGGCTATGAGGTAGAGACCTGTAACTAATATTTGACATCCTTATTTTAAATGTAATGTTGGGGTTCACAGAAGTGATGTTAGATGGTTAAGAGTCTCAGCTACGGAAGAGGGATTAAGAGCCCGGGAAAAGAGTGTCACTAAAGACAAACTTTGTAATCTTGCCAGTAGGGTCATATACTTCAGGGGCAAAAAAGATTATCTTCTCACTTCGGGAACTATGGCCAAGCCATTGAAGATTCACCGAGGGAAATGTCCAGAACAGCAAACTAAGCAGGACCAACTGTGTCTCTTTGCTGATCTATGTCAGCAAAGTCCCTTATTTTCACACGCACGTCCAGTCTTGCTACTCCTACATAAGCCATTGCAGGAGTCTTTTCCAAGCTGCACCTGGAGCCCCAGCAAGCACAGTAAAACAAACAGTTACAGAAAGATCCATAGCCTACATGAGACAGCCTTGAAAGTCAGTCTGAGCAATTAATTTCTCCTTGACTATGAGAGCCATTGAAGACCTTTAAACAGGAGAATGGCATAATCCAAATTGGATTTTAGACGCAAGATAACAGATAGTACAATCGAGTAGAAAGTTGTTGCAACAATCCAGGCAAGTGTTAATGAGGGCTTCAGCCAAGGGTTGTTGTTGTGTTGTTATGTGCCGTCGAGTCGCTTGCGACTCATAGCAAAGGGTTATTGTTTTTTACTTAGAAGAGATAAGTGAAGAAAAAAAAACCCAAAAAATCTAATTTGATCCTGATGGACTCTTATTGGCACATGTTAGATAGCAAATAAATGACTAATTTATAGACATTATCACATGTACAGCTGTACAGAGATGTAGTTAAGCCCTTAATTTTGTCCACCATTTTTAATTATCTGTGACTATTTAAGTGTGATGGTTTTAAACTAGTTTTTTGTCCAAGTTGTGAGCTCCGAGCTGCATGCTAAGTGTGTCTGTAGTGTCCTCTTTTGATTGCCTTCCATCTGCTTTGGGACAGGGCATCTGGGGGGAAGGGAGGCTAGTTATCCTACAGTAGACAAGTCATTTGACAATTGTGGGCTCATTTCTTCATTTGTAAAATACAAATCACAAAACTGGAAGAGTGTTAAGGATTACCTGGTTTGGGGTCACTTACACATAACTGAAACACTTGGATATCAGAGGGAGCTCTGGTGGCCTAGTGGCAAGAAGTTGTGTTGCAGTCCCAAAGGCATGCGGTTTGAGGCTAACAGCTGCTCTGTGGGAGAAGGATGGGCAATCTTCTCCCTTACAATTAACGGCCTCTGAAAACCCAGCAGAGGGTCAGCTCTGGAGACTATATGGTACACAACAACAGCAGACAGACGTAACTGGCCTCAAGGTTACTATAGTTGTTAAACTCATTGCCTTTGAGTTGGAACAAACACCTTACACAGGGTTTCCAAGGCCTTTAAGATTGATTACTCCTTTCTCCAAAACTGTTGGGAGAACTGCCCAAAGGAGTGGTTAGCAGTTGAGCATCCTCAGCAAGAGCGCTATCAAATCTGCTCAAAATGACCCTTTGTCCAAGAGTGAAACCCTGCCTCATCCGGAGCAACCCTCACAATCTCTGCTCGTGGAGTTGGGTGTTAAGATGTCCTATAGAGTTCATCAATAAAGCCAAAACATCTCCACCACACTACGTACAGAACATCAATTCTGTTAGGCACCAGGTGTAGCCAGGTGACCATATTCTAGACAGGTATGGTGAGCTCTGGTGGCTTTGTGGTATGGAGTCGTGCTGCCAACCCAATGGCACACATTCTAATCCACCAGCTGCTCTGCTGAAGAAAGATGGGCAATCTCCTCCACTAAGATGAACTGCCTCTGAAAACCCATGGAAGTTTAGCCATGAGTCGGTTCTGACTTGATGGTACATAATGACAACATGGTGTTCCTAGCTCCTATCAACACACTTTATCATAAAAAAAAAAAAATTGGGGGCAGGGAGAAAAATGCAACAATGCATGTTTGGAAATCCAAAATCTCTGTAAACGTTCATTAAAACTGTTATTAAGTGCTGTCGAGTCGTAGGCGACTCATAGCGACCCTATGAACCAAAGTCCTTGACACTTGCGTGACTTTCACCCTTGCTCCAGGTTCACAGGGTTTCCGGAGGCAAGCTATTTATGGAAGTGGATGCCACTCCTGTTTTAATGAATTCATTAATTTAAAAAAATTCAGGGATACAAGGGAATTAATTTCCCTAGGTGAAAGCGTGCTCTTATTTCATTGCTTGTTATATATTTAAAAAAAATGTTTTTGCATTGGTCATGCAAAGCTTCAAACTGGCTCTAGTATCTTATGTTTAAGGTGCCTTGGTAGCACAGTGGTTAAAGCTGCTAACCAAAAAGGTGACCCCACTAGCTGGTGTGGGAGAAATCGATGGTGCACATTCCCTACAGGGTCACGATCACTCAGAATTTACTTGCTAGCAGTGGCTTTTAGGGCCCTACCTTTGCTTATCTCGGACTCCAGTGAATTTTTAAAAATACAATTTACCATTTCCTTCTCAGAACTGATTATACACAAATACTCCAGCTGGTGTTCCAAAGGCTGTTTCAAGCCTGGATTCCTTCTCTGAGGATATTTACCAGAAACCTATCAATAAATTAATAGTTACATTATGTTTATTAGTATGTTGACTCTCAGCAAAAGCTTAGCATCTGATTTAGATGAAGAATTAAATTTTCTATAAACCACATAACCTAATCACATAATCTGAAATTGAATGAAACACAGATTAGTGTAATCGTCCTTAAATGCTGGTGCTGAGTTGTGGACCAGAGCTGGTTCTTAGCAGTTTTTAGTTTTTATTTAAATCCATACAGTGAACTTTTAGAAAAATATTTAACTTAAAGGAATATCCATTTTGTCAAGATTATACTCTTCCTACTAATGTGTATGCGTCAGGATAGGACAAAGACTCACCAACCTGTGTTATGTATGCAGATGACACAACCTTGTTGGCCTGAGAAGGACATGAAATGCTGGCTGTAGAAAACCAAAGACTACAGTCTACAATATGGATTGCATCTCAACGTCAAGAAGGCAAAAATCTTTACCACTGGACTGAGAAGCAATATTAAGACTGATAAAGCATTGAAATTGTCAACGGTTTCATCTTACTTGAAGCCACAATCAACACTCGTGGTACCAGTAGTCAGATGACAATGGGAAAATCAGCTGTCAGGGACTTCTCCAAATTACACCCGGGAGCAATGATGTCAATTTGAAGACTACGGTGTGCCTGACTCAGGCCATGTTGTTGAGGTGCCACTGAGTCAGAATTGATTCAATAGCTGATCTTCCAGCAGGTTTTTAAAGACAGTAAATCACAGAGGAGAAGAATGTCTTCTTCCTACAGAGCAGCTTGTGGATTTGAACTGCATACATTTGGGACTGCAGTGCAGATGACAGAATAATTGACGCCTTTGAGTTGTGGTGTTAGGGAAGACTACTGAATATCCCATGGACTACCAATAGAAAGAACATGCATACCTTGGAGAAGAAGATGTCTGTCTTGCAGCCAGAGCGCTCCTTGGAGGATAGGAGGGCAACATTTGTCTCACATACTTTGGGCATGCTGCTAGGAGAGGCTATTCCTTGGAGAGGGACATCATGCTGGGAAAGGTGGAAGGAGAGTGAAGGAGAGAACTTAAAAGAGATGGATTGACACAGTGACAGCACCAATGGGCCCAAGTGTCTTGGAGATCATGAGGACGGCACAGGATAGAACAGGGTCCAGATCAGTTGTTTATAAGGTGGCTAGGTTGTACTCGACTCAATGGTACCCAACAACAACTTCTGTGTTGGAATCTTTTTAAAGGTCTTTTAAAAATTTTGTTTTTTAGGTTTGACCAAAGAAGGGACTTCTTGATACCACCTCAAATCTTGGAGTACATTTTACTGACTCAAAAAAAAAAGAACATTCTGAACAAGGGGATCATCCAATGACAGAGCCTGCCTTCCAAAACAAACTTAGTTCACCCCAAACAAAACTCAACACCTTTAAATAGAAGCTCTCAAGCCCAAGTCTCTAATATATTGATTCAATATGAATATGAGGCATCTGGTCTAAAATGCCACCATATTTTAAGGTTTCAAAATTTCTAAAGTATTTTATATAGTATTATCATTACAGCTTTTCTAACCCATTGAGCTTCACTTTGATGTTTAAGATCAATGATAAGAATATAATGCAGCCCTTAATCCATAGGCCACCCCAGTCTAGGACCATCAACCTGGGACCACTTAATGACCTAGGGCCTCAGGGTTCCCAGGACTCTACTCAGGGGGAATGGAATAGTTTTAGGGCTCCCCTAAGGAGGGCTAAGACCTATAGGAACCATTTTGTACCTTTTGCATTTATCACTAGCAGACATCTTTCAAAGACAGTATTCATACATCTACCTGTGTGTTTTAGAAGGCTCAATAGTATTCTTTTTTAAGGCTAGAAAATTTAACTCATTCTCTAGTGACAAAATTACACGTCTTTTTTCAATGTTTATTACAAACAATGGTACAATGAGCATTTTTAAGAAAAATTTTTATTTCTATGAGATAGAGTTATGGTAGTATCACTGCACCAAAAGGCACATTAAATTCTGACAGTGGGAAAGTGGTACATTTTGGAATGCAAAGCTTCTGTTATGAACAGGGCATGATCAGCATCCTGCTTGCCAATTGTCTTTGCCAACCAGTTTCCACTTCAATTTCTCTAATTAATGGAGATGTTCAACATGTTTAGTGATGTTTTATCTATTTATCTTCTGTTTCTTCTAGGGTACTTTAAAAATCCAAAGGGGACATGTAATTAACCCTTTCTCTATGTGAACATCTATATACTTCACACTGACGGAGCATCTCAAGTCCAGGCATTGCGTCACATACATGCACGCCACTTCAATTAATCCAGGAAACAGCCTTGCACAGAAACCTCCTTTCCCCTATTTTATATGTGAGACTTGAGGTCAAGCAGGCTAATGGAAAAGCTAAAATTCACATTCAAGTTTGTCTTCAAGCCTGTGTTCTTTCTAATGTACCATTTAAGATGGCCAAATAAAAAAAAAATTCCCAAAGAATTTTAGTTTCCTGATAGTTAATTGAAAGTCTTGGGAGTCGGAGGAATAAAGATATCAGGGTAGAGAAAGAATGGCATCTCTTTTTCTCTGTGGGCCAAAATACTTTTCAGTTGTTAACAGAAGAAGTCTTCCACAGTTTTTTATCAGGGGTTTGAAGTGGAGAGCTCCGATTTCTTATAGCATAGTTCTGTATAACTGTATTACCATGGATTATGGAACATTTGAGATTATAAGGAATGTACCAGTCATGAAATACTGGCTTTGTCAGTATTTATTGGCTTAAAAAAATA